TTGTTACTAATAGCTTCTTGTTACTACTAGTAAGGCACTTGTTACTAGTAGCGTGGCACTTGTTACTAATAGCTTCTTGTTACTACTAGTAAGGCACTTGTTACTAGAAGCGATGCACTTGTTTCTAGTAGCTTCTTGCTACTACTAGTAAGGCACTTGTTACTAGTAGCGTGGCACTTGTTACTAATAGCTTCTTGCTACTACTAGTAAGGCACAGTGTTTGGTTCTGCCTTTGATGGCCAACTGATTCTCGTAGATGGCCACGCTGTTGGGCATCTTCGGAGGTGCATTGCACTGACGCAAGCAACGGCCGCTCAAAAGAAACGTGCCGTCGTCCTGCGAGAAGGCACTGCCAGGCACTGCAATTCGTGAAAATTCATTGCCCTTGGTTTCCTAGATGCATGGCATTGCATGGCATATGCATCTGGTTTCCTAAAAATGGCTTGGCTGAGCAGTTGTGCCACACTACATTGGAACCTCTGTGCTTGTGGTTCTGTGCTTGTGGTGATTGCTTGGAAGTTGAGACTCCGGTCCTCGCATGTGGCAGTAATCGAACCTGCAGCAGTTGCTTGAACTCACTTTCCCGAAAAGCAACTCCAAAAGGTAGTAGGAATGCACGACTTGAGCATATCTATTTCTTTTGTATGTTAAAGCTTTCTCTTTGTATGCTCCTTCATTTTCGGATGGCATACGTCTCTACTTCTTTCGTTACCCATCTGTGTTCGCCTGTGAAGGGCTCCTCACATTGGTAGTGCAAGGATGTGCCCGCTTGCCAGGTGCGGTATTCCAGCTCGTGAGGCTCCTGTTGCGGAATTCAGTACTAGATACCACTAGTAACAAGGACGCTACTAGGAACAAAGGGCATAGCTAATTACTAGGAGCAAGAGGACGCTACGAGTAGCTCCTAGCCTTACTACTAGGAACACGAAGCTACTAGTAACAAAGCAACTGCGACATACTGCGACAGTGACTTTCTGCCTGGAACCAGTGCCTAGCCATATCAACTCATTTCAATGCCGCTGTGTCCCCACAGGTGTTCCGCGCTGGCAATTTGAGATACAGTAGATTGAACAGTTTGAGTCTGAAATGGTTTGAAACTGTGAGTCATGTGTTTGGATACCGTAGAATCTCAGAAATTTGATGGATCATACAGGCACTCCAAGTGCTCACTTCCCGCTCCAAGAGTGGCTTTGCTCTCGGGACCACAGGCGGGCTCGGGCAAATCACCTGGTCGGCTCCGCTTGTTTCACGTCACGGAGGTATCATCACGTGCGCTCTATCACAACCTGCCCAAAACAACTACTTGCACCATTAAAGAATCATTACATCACTACATTTATACTGCACGCACACAAAGACTCATCAGTCCAAATGACTACAGCGCTGTGGAAGATTTAGGTTGTACTACAGGTTGTACTCCACCCTTCCCTCAGGTGGAAGTACCCACAAGCCTCCTTGCATTCGCCCTCAAAGCGCCATACACCATCCTTCAATCTTCTGCTTAGTGTCAGAGTGTAGGTGTCATTTACAAAGACTAGTGCTATTGGGCTCTTGACATTCAATTGGATTGGTGATCCCAAATCCAACCATGACCAACAGGAAGCTTCATCTTCTTGCACGTTCGGTTTTGCAAGGAATTCTACACAAAATTACACAAGTAAATACGCACTTTATACAATCCAGGTAAAACTGCTGGTCGGGCATTGAAATAGACATGTCATCAACAATTTGCTCTCAGGGTTGGAACCATAATTACTTGTCAGTGTCAACTCGCTTTTGCGCAGTACCTGCCTCCAAATTGATTCTGACAAAGCCAAACTGGTCGATTGCTTTTTGGCCACGTGCAGTCCTTTCCACAAATCCCTTGAATTTGGCCTGTAAAGCCACGTTGGCACTCGTAGGTGATCTCCTCTGCTGCTACGCCACACCCAAGATGATCATCAATCATCCGAGTATGTGCAAGTTAACATTGCCAAATATGTGACTGTCCATGTCACTCGTCCATCGCGTCTGACCAGAGGAATGTAGTCGTGCATGACCAACTTCCTGCGGCCGAAGTTCAGGACCACCATCAAGCGGCTCAAGATATCTTAAGCCCTAACGCTACTAGGGGCTCCTGGCATCGCTACTAGGAGCAATTACGCTACTAGGGGCTCCTGGCCTTACTGCTAGGAACAAGAAGCTACTAGGGGCTTAAGCCCAGTAAACACAAAACACAGTGGCATCTTCACTCCACGAAGCCAAACATACGTGGCTTTTCTTACCTTTCTAATGAACGGAGATACCATTAAGTTAAAATAAGTTCCACATCTTGAAGCTGTCAAGGTATTTTCACGAAAGTGCATTCTTCTACAAGCTACACTCCACACACAGAATGTCCCTGTCACCAATTGCTGCTTCACCTTAATCATTTCATGCAACCAATCAAAACAAACTCCGTGATCCTTCCCCGCTAACAACCGTGAATTTGCTCGCGACTGTGCCTTGAACGAGGCAGCCTACAAATCCGTGGACAAATCTGTGGGGGTCAAATCAGAATCATGAGTTTTGAGTTTTAACTGATACTTTGGGAATCGTTTCGCTGGGAATCGTTTCATCTCTAGTATATAGCAGGAAAGCGTTCTTCTTTTTTTTCCCTGGGGGTAGGCTTTTTTATCTGTGGGTGAACGCCGGATTTGGTCAGATCCTCCTTCGGCTGGCCACAGCGAGTCCGTCTGCAAAATCCACGGTGATCATAAGTGCCTCCACAATGCCCCGCCAACACCAACGGTGTAAGGGTGATCACGTGAAGAGTGCACAGGTCCAGCTTACAAAACAAACAAATACACATTTTGTTGTGGTTCTGGTGTGGGAATCTCATCACTCTTGACAACAAACAATGCTCAGAGTCTATCAGTCTATTCCCTTTGCCATGACGGAGTCTGTTCCACATGCTGCTGTGCACTTCGACATTGTATTGTATTGTAAGTCAGAACTCATAAATGCACACGGAAACAAAAGGCCAGGATTGAAAGCACGAGCCTGATGGTGAGCAACGAAGTATTGGAGAACCCTGAAAGCCAGGTTCACAGTCCAATTCCTTCAGGCGACTGGACTTGGACATTTTGTCTGTGTAGTGTGTCGCATTTGCACGGCCTTTCTAAGAAGTTCGTCATCGCAAAAGGGTACCAAGCAGCACAATTGGAACAAACCAACATCTTAGAAACAAACTCAAACATGCCACTTACCTAAGGAGAAGAGAGAAAACATGTACAGGATGGTACAGGTGTAATTGTATAACTTTATGGTCACATGTAATCATCAGGTACTAGTAATTGATGTTGGATTTTGCAAACAAAAATAGATAGTTTTCCACTGTCTAGACACAGCCAACCCACCAATAGTCCAATAGTACTCCTACAAACATCAACCACCCAAACCCGGCTCCGTTCGATCACAAAGATGAAGCCATGCACCGCCAACGTTGGGCAAGCGATGCCTAGCAACTCATCAGGTTCGCTCTTTTGAGCTTTCCAAAGCTTCTGGCGTTTCGAATTGTATATGCAATGGCCTCCAACCTAGTAGCAATGGCCTCCAACCTAATAAACAATATCATCTTATATCGCCTTTGAGCCGTATCTCATTGAGTGCCTCTTTGCGATGGAATTTCTTTCAGCAGCAACTAAATGCATCCAAATAACTTCTCTAGAGTGTCCTTAGCGCCAGTAGCTCCAACTGACATCACCCGTCCAAGGGTTCAACCCTGAAGAAACCACTGCAGATCCCCCGAAGTTTGCCCATTGCCCGGGTATGTCACTTGTGATGCTCGCATTCACTTCAATTCGCAAGACCTGAACCTCAAACACCACCATCGCCAACTGGTCAAGGCCAAGGCACATCCTTCAAACGGTAGTGCAACTGGTGATTGTTTTCGACGTATTGCCAAATGTCACCCTCCTCAAACAAAAGCAGTGAATGGAATCTACTTCACGTTCAAGGCAAAAACGAAACAACTGCTCGACATCGTTTTTCCAGCTGCGTACACTCAAAGCCACCAATGCCACCACTCTCTCTGATTCTCGCCTTAGTGCAGCTCACGTTGAACATGGGTGGTCGCTGCACCATCTCATTCACTGGCAGCACAAAGACCACGAAGCTGTGAGCTCCAATGCCTCTAGCAGGCTCTAGCGTCTGGCGTGGCACATTCTTGCGAGTGTCAAGTCCAGCCAAAGCAACTGAAGGCACTGGCTTCAGAATCCAATAAGGGCAAGTGACATCAAATATTTACAGTATGTGTGATGATGAGGCCGCGGTGGTGGTAGCCAAAGGCACACCATGACAGTCACTCCTAAATGGTTTCTATGGCGCACCGGCCGCCCCGTCTACTACAAAATATACCCATGGGGCTCGTGATTCTTCCACTCACAAATATATATATATATATATACTATATTCTAATATTGTAATATAGTAAATTATTTATAAATATTACACCACCAGAACTACATAAAGCAGTGCGAGAAGAAGCAAGGAGAAGTACACAAGTCCTCACAGAATCTCACCGAGCTGGTAGCTGATAATTTTTTCGTTTGATCCACATTCGGCACCGGATTCACATACAGTAGGTGCAACACAAGAAACTTGCCAAAGCATGGGAAGGGAAACAACCAAGTAAGCACTCCAGACTGGCATAGCCGCCTGATAGACGTCCCATTGGGAGTCTGGGGGAAGACAGGCATCATGGCCGTCACTCCCCCTCAAATTCGGGGGCTCGAATACACGTGTCCACACTTCACACATGTGCTTTCACATACCTCCACTGTAAATTACTCCCCTTGTGTTCCCGCTTCGGACCTTGGTTGTGTCAAGCCGACCAAGTTCACCTCTGTTCCAATCAGCCACCAGTCAACACAGGGATGACACCGTAGGACCCAAACATTGGAAACCAACCAAGAAACAAACCAACCAACTCACCCCCAACAACGTATGGGTCAGTCACGTTGTTGTCTCCTCCACACCAGTGGCCAAGGGAAGAGTTGACCCTAAGGGAAAACTCAACGTCCTTTGAGCCTGCACCGGCAGGAGTTGCCTTCTCCGGTTCTCACCATAGAACGACCGCGAAAAGAGAGACACCAACCCGGTGAAAACCGGAGAAACGCCGGACCTGAAGGACCGGATTGGGTTCGCCCTTGTCATCCATAAAGGTTCCAACCTACAACCCAAGATACCGCTTACAAACAAGGTTGCCCCAGTGGCGCCCACGTGGAGCGACGTGGAGGGCTGCACGCATTTGCATGTGTGTCTTAGAGTCTCAGGCAACAATCTGTGGATGCCAGAATGCGAACACCGCCATGAGCAAGATTGAATCCATCAAGTCTAAAATGTCTGGGGTCCCCCGCATCCTGCAATCCAGAAGAGCAAGTAAAAGCAGCAAAGCATTGAATCCACCTGTACCCAGTCTTGATGGAATGGCCTTGATCCCGATAGCTTCTAAAGGTCTTGCCTTGACATGAGCCATCATAAACCAAATGCATTGGCCTTTCCTTGCTGCATGTATTTGGGCTTCCTAGACTGAAAGGCAACAAAGTAAGATAAAGTAAGCTCCCAAGCATTTCGAGATCACTCTATCTCTTTTCTTGACGGGCTGAATCGGCAATTGACAAATTGAATTGTTGTCATTTTTTGGCTCTGGTCGCAATCTAAACCGGCTGGCCCTTTTCCTGACTGATAGCTTCTGAAGCCCGAAACATGACAACCTGCGGCTGAAGATGTTTCATCCAACGCCCGCCACGATGCTTGTCACATCACTAACCTCACCAATTGGACAAAACCAGCCGATGGCCTTTCCCATGGAAATGGTGTCCTCAGGATCCCGCCAAAACCTCAGCAACTCAGCAACACTTTCCCACTAAAGCTCTCATGGTTGAAAGTTGACCCAGAATGATGGAAGAAAACAAAGCTAAGCAAAGGATATCAGGACCGACGATTGCTAGCATAGCGGTTTAGCTCTGAAAGCCATGCAAGGAAGGTCCCTTGATGCCAACATGCTTGTGCAACAGGCCAGTTCTTGTGTTCCTGTTTGTATGCGCAAGTATGTACTTCGCTTGCTCCCCCTCCCTTCCTTTTCAAGAACTCATTCGCTCAAAGCTCGAGAGAATTGCTGAGCAACTCTTACTACAGTACTCCATGGAATGCAAGAGGTACTAAGGACACGACACGGTCATCCGGCGATCTGAAAGGCGAGTCAGCTTGCCATTATATACAATATCATACACAATCTGAAAATGAAGTCGTCAGTTTCGTGGTGTGTGGGCTGAACCTCCTGACTGACAGTGAAAAAGCTTAGGCGCATCATGGCACATCCCTCCAAACGTGCCCCTAGTAGCGTCCTTGCTCCTAGTAGCGATGCCAGGAGCCCCTAGTAGCTTCTTGTTCCTAGTAGTAAGGCCAGGAGCCCCGTTCGTAGCGTCCTTGCTAGTAGCTGCCAAAGCATCGCACTTTTGCGATTTGCAGGCCTCTCGCTTGTGAAGCACATGGAGTCTCAACGCGTTTGCAGCGCCTGATGCCTCAGCCTCTGCCTCCTCCATGTCCTCAGGCAGGAAGCTTTGATTGCTTGCTAACATTTTTTGTTCTCTCAAAACATCAGGCCTCCCGGTCTCCCTGAAAGGTTTTTTGACGTTTTTTGCTTCTTCCGGACCTTGAAACATTCGTTGGGCCAAGAAAGGGGACAGCAAACGAACTCTTGCCATTGCTCCTTCTGTTGCAGCTTCAACAAATACTCCAACCATGGCTTGCCGAAGGGATAGGCACAGCAGGAGTGGATGACTGCCTGAGATCTCAAGATTGAGTACAGAAGTAGTTCACAGGCTTTTGTTTCAAACACACCGTGCAATGCAGCAAAGACTGTGCAAATGAGAGATACCTTGCCACAACTGTATTGGTTCCTTCCATGAATCAACAGGAATTCTCCCTATCATTCCCTATCATTGTTCGCGTCAAATCCAATCAATAGACTTCCTTGTAGCTGGAAGCATTCGATGGACAAAACCCTTCTTGCAAACAAATGACCAGGATTGGCATCTCGACTGTGGTGAGCAAGCAGTGTAGTAGGTAGATTCCTTGGCTTCCAATTTCGGAACACCCAGATTTTGCCAAAGCCTCAGCCCCAGTCTGCGGGATGAAGTCGGCTCCGTTGGGAAGCTTTGATTGAAGTCGGTCCCGTAACAAGTCTTCATCCCATCTGAGCTGGGCTGCGCTTCTGTTCGAAGTGGAAAGGCCCGTAGCTCAAGACCTTGGCAAAGCGGCCAACAGCCCCTGCACGTGGTCGAGAAAAGGCAAAGGGCAATAACACGTGTCAATCCCTCGATCTGACTCCGGAAACAAAGAAGAACCTCAAAATATATAATGCAAAGAAGCACAGCATAACAAGCTAAATGACGCTAAATGCATCATAATGCATCTAAATGTCCAATTGGCCCAACAAGAGTGAGGGTTCTTTACCAAGCGCATTTCGAACATATTGCCTTGCAGCCTTCAATAGATTTCTCACGAAGCTGAGGCAGCTAGGACCAGAGCCAGCCATTGGAAATATGTGACCGACCTTTGATGGGACAAGTGAAAGGACTGGAGGGTTTGCTGCTGCCTAGTCAGGAATCGGGCAAGCTGGTTGCCAATTCAACTTCTTGCATGTGGCTTGGACAGCAAATTGACATCTGATGGTTTCTGTTCTCAGAATTGCGAGATTGACCTCCAGTCACTTAGTCTTCAATTCCTCCCTGCATTGTTACTCCGATGAATAGTTAATGTGTGTCAACACACCTGATGGCCCTACCGCATTTTGAATCCGTTGCAGTGAGGACTTCAATTGATCCTGAAACCAAAGTGAACGCATAGTTGATTGATGTAAACTGATTTGTTGATGGAACAAGGTTAAACATTTTGACGTATTTTTGACATACTTTATGTACACTCAAGCTGACGCACAAAATACTTATTGATCTTTCTTTCTCCGAGGAGCACCACTCCTTTGACGCCCCAGAACTTCCAGAAGGGACCAATTCGACGCAAATACTCGTCAAAGGTGTGCCTCACGGCATCTTAAGGCAAATGTCTTCAAACAATTCCACATAATTTCACCATGCTTCAGCTTCACGATGCTTTGCAGCTTCATGGCTCGGACTCTTCAACCCGTTGTTTCGAGACTTTGGACCCTTGGAACCTCTAGACTCTGGATCTGTGGAGGTCAACTCTTGGAGGTCGCCGTAACATACCGTAACTGTTCTTTTTTTGCGTTCAATTCTTCCATTCTTTGTTTGCTTGCTCGATCTTATCCAGTGCCTCCCACCACCTTGCCAAGATTTGCCAAGCTTCTCAAAGGTAAACACAAAAGCTAACGCAAATGAGCACAGGATGAAGTTCACTGCCGCCGCTGCCTAAGGAAAAGTTAGGGAAGTAAGCAAATGCTTTTCGTAGAAGAATGACTCTTGACTCAGGACACCTCTTCCCTGATCCAGGTTTGGAACCCCCGTGGAATCACATGCTCCATGCTCAGTGTCCCCGCCAAATGGATGTGATCCTCGTAAAGCTTGGTGCAACTCATGCAGCTCCTCGGGTCGGAATGACTGGTGCTGCATAAGGACGGTCAGGGAAGAAACCGGAGGAAACAAATCATTGTCTTCACACTCAATTTCTTTTGTTTAGCAAAAAGAGAAAGTGAAGCAAATAAGTTCAACTTTTGGTCAACGTCTTGAATCGTGTTCAACATCTAGGACAATCGAGGGGACACCGTTTTTTGATCGTTTCAGAGCAAAAAGGAACCCTGTAGGCCGGTAGACTACCCAGCTGTAAACCAAGCAACCACACATACTGTATTACTGAATCATACTATCATACCATCAAATACCAGCTCTTATGGACCTCTGAACTTTTAACATCTTTTAACATTCACTTCGAAGCTCTGCTCAATTCTCTGAACGAGGCTCTTGGACACCCAAAAACACAAGGACGGCGCAGAGTGCTCCAGGAAGGTCGTCGCAAGCCTTGCTTGGGGCAAAAGCGTTGTTAAAAGCCTCTCCAGCAAGACAAGGATTTTCGAGCATGATTGTATGGCTGTGGGTTCTGAGATTCAGAAGGCTGGTGTTGGTGCACAGGAGACCTGGTCCTGTGGTCCAACTTGAGGCCAGAGGGGGTGAACGAAAGCTAGCCGGGCTTCCGGTGGTCTGCTGCTGGTGCTGCTGCTGCTGCTGGTGCTGCTGCTGCCGCTGCTGCGCTGGGCGCTGCTGCGCTGGGTGCTCTGCAGGCGCCGGGTCGTCTGCTGCTGCTGCTGCTGGCGCTGGGTGGTCTGCTGCGGCTGCTGCTGCCGCGGCGTTGGGTATGCTGCTGCTGCTGCTGCCGCCGCTGGGTGGTCTGCTGCTGCTGCTGGTGCTGCTGCTGCTGCTGC